GGCCCGGTTTTTCTCCCCAGAGACGGTACCTGCGGAGCCCGGCGGCGTCCTGTGGGGCTGGAGCCCTTCCCTGCGCTGCTGCCGGGGCCTGGGAACAGCGTGGGCCTTGTTTTGAGCCACGAAACTGACAAGGGAGAGGAAGGTGAAGGCGGCGGGAGGACGGAGCTCTTTGCACCATCCCTGGGTGTTATTGTCACAGTGTTCCACGGTGGCTGCTGCCCCAGCACAGCCGCGCTCGCCTGGGAGGGTGTCTTGGTGCTCCTTGGAAAGCTGGGGGTCGGTTCTGGATCCAACTGGGGCCGTTGTCCCAGGGCTGCTCCTCCCTGGGTTCCGCGTGGCTCTTCCAGCAGCTCATCCCCTGGATGTTTCAGAAAGTGCTGGATGTAAAACCAGGATATTTTCCATCTGGAAAAATTCTGAAAGGGGAAGCTGAGCCTTCATTTTTCATTAGATTCCAGCATGTTATGGCAGATCCTATTTTCTTGTTAATTAGGCACTGTTCATTTTCTCCAGTTCATTACTTACCACCGCACCTAGAATTTATATTCATTTGGTTTAATAGCGTTTGCCTGGTTACATTCCAAACAGTTACTCACTCAAAGGAAATTATTCCCTTGCTCTGCCAGGACTTCCACTTTGCCTTAATTTCCCTGGAGCCTCGTTTCCTTCCCTCTCCCCTTGTGAGCTTGCAGAGCTGAGGGGAGAGCTGAGCCCATCGTCACCCAAGTCAGCTGCATCCTGGCATGACCAGCCTGTGCCCACTCTGGCACTGCCACGATTCCTGCCTGGGCATCCTCACTGGGAACAGCATCCTTGGCTCCCAGCGGGTTGTGACAGAAGGGCAGGTGTCCCTGCCCACTCCTCCATGCAGGGAATTGTGCTTTTCACACAGACCATAAAACTCCCCGGTGGTGCCAATGCTGGAACAGTTGAACAGCAGTGACAGGACGAGACCTGGGCACGTGATTCCAGCTACGGAATTCCTGCCATCCCTGTGCTGCACTGACAGGCACACAAGGCTTTGTGGCAATGGTGGGGTTGGGTTCCATGTTAATGAGCAGGTGGTGGAGGCCCTGAGCTCCCTCCAAGCTTCCTCTGCTTTCCAGGTCAGTTTCTGGGAGCTGGGAATGTCCAGATTCCTCTGACCAAACCTCTGGTGTGTTGCAGGTCCAGCTGTGTCCTGGAAGAACCGTGAACATGGCCAGTGGTGCTGCAAGCCCGAGGTGGCTGCTTTGATGCTTTGGGGGGGCACATTTCCAGCACCAGCCCCACCAGCCCTGTCCCCACATGTGCAGTGCCTGGCAGGTACGTCCAGCTGCAGCTGCCACCTTCTGTCCAACAGTTTCACTGGTTTCCTGAAAACCTCTTGGCTCTGCAAGTGCTGGGGGCTGTGTGGGTGCAAGGTGTGCTGCTCCCCCTGCCAGTGCCCTATTTCCCCCCACACCTTTTCCGACCACACAGGATTTGCATGGCTGGACCTTGCTGAACTGCACATCCAGCTGGTGCCCTCCACAGTGTCCTCCACCATTTTCCTCTCCAGGCACAGGCACAAGAAACCAGCTTGTTGAAGACTAATCTTCCCAGCAGATGGTCTCCATCACCAGGTGACCCCCTGGCTCCATGAGGGCACTGATGCTCCTCAGGACACTGCAGAAGGTGGCCAGGTCCTGGCTGGTGGCCTCCAGAGAGTGGGTGGGGAGGACACAGGTGGCAGGGACATGGGATCCATGGGGTTGGTTTTGATCACGTTGCACTCCAGAACCTGTCCCACCCTCTTTCTCAGCCCATTTCCCCCAAGCAAGTAAATAAACAGATAGACAGAGGCTCGTTAGGTGGTCATTGAGTGTCTGTGCCTGCCTGCGCCTGCGCAGCGGGAACCCAGCCAGTCCCTGCCTGCCAGCTCAGCTCCCTGCCCTCCAGCCCCAGGCTCCCCTCATTCCTCAGCCCCTGCTCCAGCTC